AGTTTAGTAACGGTAGTCGGTTTCGTTCGTACTTAGTTACGTACTTACGTAGTACTAACTTAGTTTAGTACGTACTTAGGTAGTCTATTAGTCTATATATATATATATATATATATATATATATATATATATATAGAAAATGGCTTATCAAAATAAGTGAAGCTTCACCTCATAACTCATTAAAAATTGCAATTCAAGTGTTGAAAAACCTTAAATCGATCATCTCAACTTGAACATTATGGTTGTATAAAAAATATTGGATTCCAAATTGTAAAATAGTGTATATTGCAACAAATCATCTAGACATCCATTTCACTACTTTTTTAAACTCATTTAAATATGTTTTGTTTAAGGGTGTGGTTTCTATTTGGTTGCAGTCTTAAACAATCCAATTAAGGCGCACCTCCAAATTTTATCATAACATGTAATTTTGTTGTAAAAAATTCTTAAGATTATCTTAAAATCCATTTTCATATCTAATTGGAAAATTTTAAACTTCAAAAATAGTTAAAATCAAGGAGATCCATAAACACATGAAAATCTTGAAAAACAACTTAGATAATATGTTGCAAGATGCACTATTTCTGAGACTCAATTTTTTTATATATATTTGTACATCTCGATGTCGAGATGATCAAATAGAGGGTTTTTCAACATTAAAACAACCTTTCCGATAGAATTTTTAGGTGCATCCATAATTCTACATTTTAAGGTTGCAACCTTATATAGATTTTTCCTTTTGTTTAATGTTACTTTGGGCATATTTTTATTTTTTTTGTATTTCTTTTTTTTTTAACGGCCTTTCGGTTGGCCGGATTTGGCCCAACTCGGACTGAGTCTGAGTTTCTCAGCTCGGGCCTTGGTGGAGCCCCATGGCCAAGCCGTAGTTTTTTTCCTTGATTTTATAACTCAATTGTAAGGTGATAGCAAAATTAAAGATATCATTTGGGTCGCATGAATTTTTGCTAGCCAACATTGATAGGTTAGCGCTTAACAAATATCTTATGTACCTTTCTAAAAGAAATAAGCAAAAATTCCTCTGTAAATAGGGGCAGTTTTCCTACAACAATACTATTCAGTTAAGTACGAGGAACTCATATTTATCCTGAGCCCTTAGACGTAAAATTGGGGATTAAGATTGTGCTATTGACCGTTTTTAAAGTCTAAAAAATATTTTATTTTTCAAGCTTTATTACTACTTGGTTTCATATTTGAAGGTTTGGAGTTATTGGGACTTTTTTGTACCAAAAATAAACAGACAACTCCTACTTTCTATCACTTAGTTTAAAAATTTGAATCACAACGTGATAGATACAAGCAGAAGGAAAAGAAAAAGAAAAAAACCAGAGGGGTTGGGGTTGATTAATCGATAAATACTCTCAAGAGATGCCATGCCCACAGAATGCGGTCTCTTTCGCCCGTCCCGATCGTGGACGACAAGGTCTCTCATCCGAGAGGGGTAGTTGCATAGGCAACAACGCACCACATGCTTGATGCCCCATGAAACCATCACTGTCCCAAATCCAATGCTTAGACAGCTTCTTCTCTCCTCCTATTCCTATCAGTGACCTCATATGCACTTTTTTATAAGGTTGTCACCGTAAACAATCCGATTAAGGCGCACCGTAAAATTTTATCATAACATGTAATTTTGTTGTAAAAAATTCTTAGTATTATCTTAAAATTTATTTTCATACCTAATTAGAAAATTTTAAATTCCAAAAATGCTTAAAATCAAGTAGATCTATAAATATATGAAAATCTTGAAAACAGATGGTCTCGATAATGTGTTGCAAGATGCACTATTTTCAGGATTCAAAAACTTTTTTTTCTTCAAATTTATAGATCTGGATGTTGAGATGATTGATTAGAGAGCACTTTCAATATTAAAACAATATTTTCGATATATTTTTGAGGTGCATCTATGATTCTACATTTTAAGGTTGCAATCTTATATAAATTTTTTTCCCATATATATATATATATATATATATATATAGGAAGATACTACAAAACATCTATAGGCGAAAATGAACAGTGATTTCGCCTACCCTCATCACTATCCAAACTTAATCGCATGGTCACAGTTGTCCGGTAGTGTTCATTTTTCATTTTTTTACTAATTGGAATGATCTGAAATTTGGAGCGTGTATACATATTAGTGAAGCACACCAAATAAAAATATGAAAAAAATAAATTGTAAAATATAAACCAAAATACCCTAAAAAATTTATAGGGGTATTTTGGTCAATTTATATTTAATGAATTATTTTTTTCATATTTTTATTAGGTGTGCCTCACTAAGATATACACATGTTTCAAATTTCAAGTAATTTAAATTTGTAAAAAAAAATAAAAAAAATTGAAACACTACCGCACAACTGTGACCGTGCGATGAAGTTTGGATGGTGATGAGAGTAGGCAAAATCACTGTTCATTTTCGCCTATAGGCATTGGGAAGAGTTTTTCATATATATATAGAGAGAGAGAAAGAGAGAAGCTTACTCTTTGACCTGACCGGACCCGAATAATATGGGTCTATGTGGGTATTCGTAAATGTTGTCAATACGTTTGTTTCTTAGGAATTTCTAGTTATTACGTAAAATAGTAAGGAATGTGGGTATTCATAAAT